CCCACCTGTCATCTGAACAACCACATGACTAAGTTTCAGTGTTTGTGGCTGAGATCTCTTGTTTTCAGTTCTCTTGCATCTGTATTTTGGGTAAGTGGTTACACCTCTCACTTATGTCATTGACATAAATTAATGCCTGATCCCTTTAAACTTCTGTTACTCTTCTGCCCACAGATTTCTTTCCTTCTTTGTCTGGCTTCTCTCTAAACACTGAAATAAGGGATGATTTAGTCAGCCCCTTTTCAATACATTTTCACATCCAGCGTTCTGTATTTCACAGATGAGTGACATCATCCTGTTTTTGTTTATTTTTCTGACTATCTTCACTCAAGACGGTATCTTCCAGTTCCAACTTTGTTGCTGCATAAATGCAGTAATTCTAAAACCTAAAAATATATTTTTATTTATTATTTTTGTTTGCTTTTTGGGTTACATCCATCGATGCTCAGGGATTACACCTAGCTCTGTACTCAGGAAGTATTCCTAGTGGTGCTTGGGGGACCATATGGGATGCCTGGGGTTGAAGCTGGGCCAGCTGGGCCGGTAGGCATGTGTGCAATGCAAATGCCTAGCCCTGTACTATGGCACCAACCCCTCCAAAATTCTTTTGATTCCAGGGTAAATACTGTGACTTTACATTTGATAGACAGCAAGGACAAGTGTGATTGCTGAAATGAACTCGATGGTTCAGCACTAGTGGTTTTGCTTTAGGAAAGGCACTTTCTTGGCACCAGGAAGAAAACTTTGGTTCCATCCCAGCACCCCTCATGGTCCCCATAGCCCCAGGAGCAGGAATCCCTCAGCAATGATGGCGTGACCCTCTCCCCACCTAGTAAATAGAACAAGATAACAAAAAACTCATTGATCCTGGAGAGTAATCTGCTTCGGGTGAGATGTTTTCAAAGGTCTGTCTCAGCTGTGTGGGGATGCTTCATTGCCTTCGCATGTGTATCCCGGGCTCCAAACTGAGTTAGAACCAAACCCAGTCTCAGGCCCCTTTTATTTTCATTCTAAAATGCTGCTTCAAGTTTCTGCAGAGGGAGTTATTTCCACTTACTGTGTCTGTTCTTTGAGTTGCAAAAAAATTTACACAGCTATGTGAACTGCCGTCGGTCTATTTAGCTTGCTGAAACGTTAGGTCCATCTTGCTGAAATGTTAGGTCGTTGCCTGGAAAATCCATTCACATGTCAGAATTGCAATCGGGTCAGGAAAATGTTAGAACCCAACCTACAGGTCTAGAATTTTATGGACAAAGACACTCTCAGGCACAGCATAGTCATTGGAATTCTTCTCTGCTGTTCTTTAGGGTAGCAGCTAGCCCAGGTGGAATTTTTCTGATCATGTGCACTGTGACAAGTTATCGCGTGAGCAATTATGCCCTCAGCCCCATGAGGATGCCAAGACAGGTGGGATGTCTTCTGTGGGTGACCAGAAGGAAGTAAGCGCCCACGCTGCAAAGAAGCGCTCCCCGGGGAAAAGTTACTCGGAGACTGTTCTGCTCACTCCATGGTCCCAGACTGCCCCAGATGAGAAGCCCCTGGACTGTGGGAGAGGAGCACTGTTTATAGTGAGTCCAATTATGTACCCCACAATATATGGAGGCTGGAATCGGACCCAGGTTACCCAAATGAAAGAAAGGACTCACAATCTTTGGCTCTCCATACAGCCTCACCATCATGCCTGAGTACTTCCTGAGTCAGGAGCCCCTCTGCACGTTTCTGGATTCGTGGCCCCCAAACCATGAACAAACCAAATACAATCAAAACAGCCTCAGTAGAGGATTCCTTCACCCCAACGTGGGTGTTTCTGAGCTGTATCTTACTGTCTCTATGCTGCCTCTTCCTCATATAAGAGGGTTGTGTACCCTCAGAACATGGGGTGATGTGGTGTGGGTTGCACATAGCAGGAAATAGTTCTAAACGGTTTGGTCACAGACATAACACAGTAGCTTCAGATGTTTTTAGCTCAGAGTGTCACTGTCACTATTCTCCCATTTTTCATCGATTTGCTCGAGCGGGCCCAGTAACATTGTAAGACTTGATACTGTGTTTGGCATATCGAATATGTCACGGGTAGCTAAACAGGCTTTGCCCTGTGGGCGAGATACTCTCGGTAGCTTGCCGAGAGTAGTGGAGGAATCGAACTCAGGTCAGCCATGTTTGCCGCGTCCCAGGCAAACGCCCTACCTGATTTGCTATTGCTCCAGCCTTGCAGCTTTGCCTTGCTCTGCCCATATCAGGTTCAAACCTCTGCACCCCTCGTGGTCCAGATGCAAAGATGTAGCAGCCCACTGGACCCCCGAGGTGATTCAGCTATGTACCCCACAAGATCTGAAGGCGGAAATCAAATGCTGGTCACCTGTGTGAAAGACTAGCACCTTCACGGCTCTCCTACCACTGCCGCTTTGAAGCTCCATGCCTGATCTTTTAATCACCCCATACTTAACACAGAATCAAATCTAAGGGTAGAAAATTCTTAGAGAAACGGGCCTGAAGAGGGACGGAAACGCCCACAACTCCATCTCATTGCGTTTCAGCATAACTTCCTTGGTCCAAATTTTCCCGTTTTTAAGATTTTCAGCCCTTCTCTGCTGAAATGTTAAGTATGAGGTCATTAAGGATCCAGCACGCAGCTTGGGCCGCTGCAACAGGAGCAAAGCAGATAGGGCTTTTGCCTTGCATCCATAGGACCCAGGTATAGACATAGACTTCCGCTACGACTCTTCAGTCATGTCCATAGTGATTACTGCATGCAGAGCCAGGAGAAGGCCCTGAGCATACCCCGGTGTGGCCAGAACTATAAAGGAATTAACAAGAAAGAAAAGTAAAACACAGAGCTTCAGTTCCTTGATGGCAAATTCTCTCACCGCGAGTTGAAGTTGTCAGAACTGTATAATCTTCCATTCCCCATGTTGGTGTAGAAGACGGTTTGAGTACCCTCATAATGTGGGGTAATGGGGTGTGGGTTGCCCATAACAGGAGACATTCAAAGGGCTCGGTCAAAGGCATCAAAAGGTGTGTTCAGAACTTTTCTTGTACAGAGAGAAAAGAACATAAGATGTAAGAAAATAACATTGCCTTGCTCATTAAAGGCTCAGTTCAATAATCTGCACCCCTCGAGGTTCAGAGACAAAGCTAGGGCAACCTACTCAACCCCCGAGGAGATTCAGCTATCCACCCCACAAAGATCTGAAGGCTGGAATCGAACCCAGATTACTCAAGTGAAAGACAATCAACCGCAGCCTCCCCTACCGGTGCACCTGTGGAAGTGGCTTCCTTGGTCCTTAATTACCCCATACTGAACAGTGAAGCAAACCCAAGGGTGGAAAATTCTTAGAACCCATCCCGGAGAGAAACAGAAACGTCCACAGCCCCATCTCGTGGCGTTTCGGTGGAATTACCGCGGCCTGATTTTTTCCAAGCTTAAGATTTCAGCCCATTTCTTTGCTTCAATGTTAGGTATAGGGTCATTAAGGATCAAGCAGCTGCTTGAGTTTCTGCAGCGGCAGCAGAGCTGTTAGTGCTCTTGGATTTCTTTCACAGGCCTCTTGTTCTTTCTCTGAATCTCCATACAGCCCCACCATCATGCCGGAGTGATTCTTGAATGCAGCTTCAGGAGAACCTCTGCGTGCTGCCGGATTTGTGTCCCCCAAACCCTGAATAAATCAAATAAAACCAAAACAGCCTCAGTCCCTTGATGGAAGATTCCCGCACCCCAACGTGGTGGGTTCTGAGCTGTTTCTTGCTGTATCCCTGACCCCTTTTCTGTGTAGAAGACGGTTGGGGCATCCTCAGAACGCGGGGTGATTGCACGAGGGGGTTGACTATAACTGGGAACCTTTCAAAGAATTGGGTCACAGACAGAGCAAATACAGCTCATAACTTTTCTGGTTCAAAGTGAACAGAACAACGACAATAATCACACCCCCCTTGTAACTGACCAGGTTCAGTCCCAGGTACTCAATGGTCCCCAGAACCCTGCAGGCACACACCAAAGCAGGCACCCCCAAAAAAACCCTCGGAGCCAGAGCTATAGTATAGCTGGTAGGATATTTGCCTTGCATAGAGTCAACCCGTGCCTACTCACTGGCATCCCATATGGTCCCCTAAGTACCATCAGGAGTAATTTCTGAGTGCAGAGCCTGAAATAACTCTTGAGCATTGCTGGGTGTTACCAAAAAAGCAAAACAAAATTCCCTGACAGAAGTGATGTATTTAGAATTTCCAGGGAATCGGACTGCCCAATCTTAGGCTCATTATTCCTGTGTTCATTAAAATTCTTCTTAACACACCCTAGTTCCTCTGATGACTGTTACCTTCACCCCACACATTTGGAGATGCCAGAGTTGAATCTGGCCTCTGCCAGACTCCTTCATCGAGAACAGAAGACATGGGACTTCTCATGTGTATAGGAACCCCAAAACTCAGGATGGAAGATGGCACCCTCAGCAATGTGGGGTGCGGTGATGTGGAGACATGGGGTCTGGAGACCTTTAAATCCGAGTTGGTTGGAGATATCGTAGTGCAGGAAGGCAAGCCTCTCCTGCATCACCCTGTACGCTCTCGGGCAGCTGGCTCTGGATCACAGCCCACTGAATGTCTCTCCACACAGAGGGTGAGAGGGGCGAGCCCCAGGCAGCACAGACACCCGGAGACAGTTCACCAGTTTATTCTCTGACCTGAGGTCCAGCAGGGCACTGCAGGGCCGGAAGTTGCTGGACTCTCATCCCCTCCAGCCCTTGGCGGGTGTAAGCGAGTCGAGTCCACCAGAGGCAGCCTCCTCTTGGCACATGGATCCCTCAACCCCCACTCCACCCCACCTGGTCCACACCTCCATTTCTGGCTATATGATTCAGTGGAGGGTTCAGAGGCAGAGGTGAGACAGCATCTGGAGTTGGGCTGAGGTGGGAGGGCACACAACTAGTCCAGGGGGCCCTACATCGTCTGGAGTCTGACTTTGGTTCCCACACTTGGGGACCCCTCACCTGCCCTTCTCCCAGAAATTTCTGGAGAAGCCAATGAGCAGTCTACCTGGAACAGTCGGAATCCAGTGGTTAACAAGGAGGTCCGGAAGCACCAGATATTTGGGGGAACAGGACAGGAGGCAGATTTAGGTGGGCTGTATTAGCTCTGAGCTTGACAGTCCTTTGTATGCAGTGCAGAGGTGCTAAACTTCCAGCTAAACTTCCACTGTGCTCCCCCAAGAGAGGAGGGGCGAGGCTTGGGGGTCCCCTGGGAGGCTGAAGAAGGAAGGAGATTCCTTTTGTCTGACCATGAAGCAGTTGCAGGAGAAGATAAATGGGGCGGCTGGGAGGACTCATCACCATTAGTGCCCCCGTAGGGGTGTCCCATCTGTACCCACTTCACCTCCGCGACCCCCGAGATTCTCAGCTACTGAAGCAGAGGGCCCCGGTAGAAGCCAAACGTCTGGTGGGGCTGTCTGAATTCAGTGGCTGTGACATCGAGCAGCGACAGGATCCGTCCCTGGGAGCACTGAATTCCAGCAGGGTCTCTGCCCGGCCCCTCCAGAACTGCGGATGTTTGGGCAGGGCATCTCAGGGGCATGACTTGCGGGCGTGGGGACCCCCTCGCGCGCTCCCACCGCCTGCTTCTTAGATCCACCAGTGGTCCTGGGGGACCGGAGTGCGGCCACCGCCATCTGGTTGAGCCCAGGTCCTGGCCCGCAGACCCCCGCAAATGCAGCTCGTGGCCCTGGCCCCAGTGGCCTCAGCCTGGTGGCCGAGTTCTGGCACAGGCAGGCAAAAGTCTGCCGTCAGCAGGGACAGGAAGGTGAGCTGCACGTGCTCACTGGGGCGCCGACCGCGTCCACTTAGGAGAACTGCCCAGGCGGAAGTCCGGGGGCAGTGGTTCACCAGGGGCAGGCCGGCCAGCTCCGGTTCTTCCTCCTGGTTGCAGTTGGTTTTGTTTTTGCACACCTGGCGGTGCTGAGGCATCATTCCAGTCACGCCTCGGGGGGCACTATGGGGTACCCGAGATCAAACTCCGGTTGATGTGTGCAAGACCAGTGCATCCCCGCTGGACATCGCTGGGGCCCGGCTGAAATTTTTCCCTCTGGAGATGCCTGTGCTCTCTCCCCAGCGCGTGCTTCTCTCTAAAACTTTCTAAGTAATTTTCTATAAAAACTATCTTGTTGGAGCCCGAGTATTGATATGGTAGGTAGGGCACACAGCAGACCAGAGTTCGATTCCTGGCATCACATTGTGTTCCCCTGAGCACAGCCAGGAATAATTCCAGGACAGAGAGCCAGCCCTCAGCCCTGAGTATTGCTTGGTGTAGCCCAAAAAGGAAAAGAAAAAAGAAAACTATCTTGTTTCTCACACACTACACACACACACACACACACACACACACACACACACACACAATTTTAAAAAAATCAAGCTGAGCCTCTCAGACTCTGAGCTTCAGCAGAGTCTGTTCCAGCAGCTGGCACACTTGTCCCTGTTCTCCCAGTCCCTGACCCCAGTCATTACTCAAGCCTCAGTCAGTTTGCACCTTGTCGCCAAGCCTTTGGATCCTTCCAGCACGTATGGCCCCCAAACTGCCACCATGTCTGTAGGTCCCCCGCCCTCTCCCATGAGCCAGTCTCTCTTCCCAGCCTGCCCGAGTCCCAACGACATGACTGACCTTCTTCCCTCGACGGAAGGAGCTGTACCAGCTTCCTAGCTTCTCCCTGGACCATGAGGCCAGTTTCACCTGGGGGACACAGGGAGTCAGCGGAACACAGGTTTTGGGTACCTCCTACCAGCGTGATTTTTATGAGGGGGGGGGTCAATTCCTATGCAGCGCTAAGGGGTTTGTGGGCCCCTCCTGGTGAGAGGTGGTTGTTCAGACCTTGAGGTACTGAAGGTCTCCAGTGTAATACCTGTGTGCGGGGGACATGTGGTTCCATGGATAAAACTCAGTCTTTGCACGTGCCAGGCATGCGCCCCACCTACTGAACTACCTCTCCAGACCCTGCCCTGGCCCTTGTGGCCTTGTCATCCCAGGGTGGAAACTGGAGGCATCTGGGTCTCCCACCGTGCTAGTGGGCTTCAGGAAAGGTTTGATCCAGCACACACTCTCAAGCAATGATGGACAGATGGATCTTGTGGGCAAATGCCCCTAGTTCTCGGCCCCCTCTATGCCGATGTGGAGCAATTCCCAAGTGGTGTCTGCCTCACACTGTCTCTCAGATGTCCCCAGTGAATCTGAGTACACCCAACGATGACAATGTAACCAAGCTCCCTTGGGGCCACTTCTCTCAGCTTGTCACCACCCACCATCCCCCTCTTGCCCTCGGGGCGCTAGATTATACTGGAGACTCCTGCCTTGTACACAGCTGACCTGGGTTCCATTCCTGGAATTTCAGAGGTTTCCTAGAGCCCTGCCAGGAGCCCTGCAAAAGGCTTGGGTACAAGGTGCAAACAGACTTTCCCTGAGCATTGCTACATGTGATCTGAAGACAAAGAATTATTAGTATTAATTTTGTATGCAGATCATACCTGGCAGTGCTCAGGGATCACTCCTGGCGGGTCTGAGGGACCCTTCAGAGTACTGGGGATCCAGCCAGGACCAGCTGCATGCAAGGCAAGCACCTCCCCACTGAACTAGCTCTCTGGCCTCCCATTTGTTTGTTCTTTAAAAAAAAAGGTTTTATCTGGACGCTCTCAGGAAGGAGAGAGAGATACAGAGAGAGAGAGAGAGAGATGCTAGAGAGAACACGTTGGACGAAAGTAGAGCAAGCCTGGGACACAAATGTGCCTATTCGGGTAGAAGGACTTTTCTCAGGAGCCGGGGGAAAGCTCAATGTGACAGCACAGAGGGAAGGGCGCTGGCCGTGCATGCCACTGACCTGGGTTCGATCCCAGGATCCCACAGGTCCCCCAACCACTGCCAGGAGTGAGTCTTGACACAGTGCCGAGGTGCTTGTAACTATATCTCACGGTGATTCAACTAAAAACACACACATACAAAAAAAAAAAAACCTTGTTGAATGTGTGAGTCTCTCCCTTCTGGCCCTTAAATACATCCCCGAGGACTGGAATGTTCCCTTTGATAACAAGCCTATTTCCAGTTGATTCTCAGTCACTCATTTTGAAACATTATTCATCCACGTACGACCTCTGTCACTGAAAAGTATTTGAGCCCAAATCACTGCCTTCCCTCCACAGATTCTGATCTCTGTGGCACTGCCTAACCCAACCCCTGCTCTATTTTGGTGGTGTGATGCTCAGGAAAGCTATTTTCAGTACTCATCCCCCTCACCCTCTGACATTCGTTAATCCTCACTTCTCACTCTGGTTGTGGCCTTCCTCACACATTCTGACTCTGCTCACAATATAGAAATTCGCCATCCGTGTTGAAGCCATAGTGCAGCCCAAGACATTTGCTTTGCATGAAGTCAGCTCAGGTACAATTTCTGGCATCCCCTATGGTTCCCTGGGCACTGGAAGGAGTAATTCCTGAGTGCAGCACCAGAAGAAACCTTGAGCATCACCAGCTGTGTCAAAGAAAGAAAAAATGTCAATATGAATATGAATAAACTCATTTTTTTTCATTTCAGTTGATGTAATTTTTCAGCTATATAGAAGTAAATGTTGCACAACATTTCTAATGTAGGGACAGTCATGAGTGAAAGGAGCACAGGGTTATTTAAAGAAGAATCTGTTTCAGTAAATTATTAAATGAGGTACAAGATATGCATGTAAGTAATAAGCAATGTTTTCAAAATGGCATAGGAAAAGGCCTGGAGCAATAACACCACCGGGAGGATACTTGCCTTGCACACAGCTGTCCTGGGTTCGATCCCTGGTACAACATATCCCCTGAGCCCCAGCAGGAGTGATCCCTGAATATGGACATAACTATGAACATATCAACTATCATAAGCTCATTTTATTCCATTATATCTTCAGAGGCCAGTACTGACCCTTGGGACTGCAAGTGGAATTCTGTCTTAAACTGTTAATGTGAGACCAGAGTATTTCAGACGGGGAACTTCACAGCAGATGGGAGAGGAGGTTTTTTGGGGGGGGCGGGGAGCTCACTGGAGCTGCTGGTTTACCATAATTCAGGCTCCTTCTAATGCAAGCCAGGCACAGGGAGGGAAGAAAACTCACCCTTCACCTTTTCTTTTAATCTGGACCTTGTAAAATCACACACTCCATTCAGTCTCTTCCAGGGGGAGTACAAAGGCCAAAGTATTTCTTGGATCTCCAAACAAAAAAAAAGAGACAGAAGATACCTAAGCTGCCCTCTGCATTCTATATTCACAATATTTAGGGGAGGCCTAAGGCCAAACTCTGACATCTTCCTAATCACATGTCATCAGATGGGGAAAAAGACAAGAATGACTGTCACTTCTTCAAGGTCCTGTTTTCTGGATATCTGGGGAGAAGCTTAATAGGAAACAGCAACCATAAACTGGCTGATGAAAATAAATTGCTAAAGTAGGTATGATACAGGAATTACTATTAAACTCATATGGATACAAAGACATATTCAGGAAATTACCATTGGCCACCCAATTCATTCAAAATTGCAACTCCAGCGGCTGCAGAATGAATGCTCGCTTACACCTCCTCATAGAAAATCAAAGAATTCTAACCCAGGTATTTCTGACCCTCAGTATCCAGGCTGCTTAACTTTTTAGGACATTCCTCACATTCTTACTTTGGACAACCTGGCAGGCTACCGAATGTAAACTGCCCACAGGGCAGAGTCTGACAAACTCCCCGTGGTGTACCCAATATGCCAAATACCAGTAACAACGATGGGTCTCATTCTCCTAACCCTGAAAGAGCCTTGAATATGGTACTCTTTAAAATCTCAGGGCTAGGATAAAGGAGATGTTACTGGTGCCTGCTCGAGGCAATCGAAGATCAACAGGATGATCGTGATCGTGATCTTCAATAGTATGATAAAGCAAGAAAGAAGATAAACATTGAAAAATATAACTAGATGTCTTGATTCACAGTTGATGAAGGATCTACATTGGTTAATAATTGAAACCTCCAAAGAAAACTATCATTCTGATAACACAAGTCATAAAAGAGTTGGAAAGTTAAAGGATATTCAAAAACTCATATAAAATAATTCTAATTGGTCCAAGAAATTCTCTCTGCC